TATATATATATATATATATATATATATAAATTCACTTGAGGATGAAATGGAACTAATGTCTTTAATTTAATCACAAAATTAAATTCGTGGCTTTTAGCTTCCATTTTGAAACATGGTGAGAACTGTGTAGAAAAACAACATATTTTAAATCAATGTATAATATTGATGCTCTTTAAATTTACATTAAGCACTATTTTGTAAAAATAAAATATCTATAAGAACACCGGATTATATATCTTGCTGTTCTTTTTTTTTATTTATATATATATATATATATATATATATATATATATATATATATATATATATATATATACAGGAGAGAGAGAGGGGGGGGCGATGGAGTAATATATATATGAAGTGTCCAAGTTGCAGATCCATCAAAAAATTTAAGAAAATCACAGCTTTATAGACTTGGACTTTAGTGCAAGGTTCTATTCCCCTTTCGTCCCACAACCTCTGACGCAGCGAACCAAAGAAAGGCCTGGCTTTTGCAATGCGATTAACAATCTAGTTACCAAGTGATGCACTTGAATTTAACATTCTCCCTAGTTATTTGAAAGCATATATATATATATATATATATATATATATATATATATATCTAAATATATATATATATATATATATACATTTCTAAATATATATATATATATACATATCTAAATAAAAAAAAATATATATATATATACATATCTAAATATAAATATATATATATACATATCTAAATATAAAATATATATATATATACATATCTAAATATAAATATATATATATACATATAAATATAAATATATATCTAAATATAAATATATATATATATATATATATATATATATATATATATATATATATATATATATATATATATATATATATATATATATATATATATATATAAAAGTAGAACTTGTCTCCGGGCGCTTTCGATTTTTATTAATAATGCTTTTATTTTTTTTTACTCTTTTTTACATCAGCTGGTCAGCACCGGCGTTTCGATCATTTGGGAATACCAAATGCTCTAAGCTTGGATGAACGGGTGGTGCAATGGCGAACAGCTCTGAATTGAACACCGGAGAACTGTGTTTCAATTCCAGTTCGGCTATTTGTATTCACTAAGGCGCAGTTACCTTTGGTAGAACTATGAGTCCACGTCTTTTCCCTCCAGCGATGGGTTGATTAATTAGGCTTCTATCTAAACTCCCCGAAATTCTTGTGATCAGAACATTATTTTCTGGCTTTAAATAGCCCACAAAAGTTTGAGAAGCCGTAATATATATATATATATATATATATATATATATATATATATATATATATATATGTATATATATATGCATGTTTCGTTAAAAACGACAGACAAGGTAATACAGTTGAGCTTTTTATTTAATTTTTCTTGTGTTCTGACAAGAGCTTTCTTTTCTGGACAAAGAGTGTGTAAGAACTGTCCGAATGTTCTGTGTTTCCGAGCGCTTTCGGCTATACCTTTAGCCATTATCAAGGATGGTTCAATTATCAGCTTAGTAGAGTGTGTTCTATGTATGTTCAGTGTGTGGTAGTGATGTTTTAGTTTCCGAATACGGTTAGCACATTGTGGCTTTGTTCATAGTTGATATTGTTAAGAGTTGGCTTTTTCTTTTTTATTATTAGAGCTTCCATTATTTTTAGTCTTTTTTTGCAAGTGGATGCAGTTAATATATTAGTGTTTTCTACTAGTATGTTCCTAATAGTGTCGGGTAAATCTGAGTGTGTGTTTAAATGTGTTCTGATGGAACTGTGATCAGATAGGTGTAATGTAAGACGTCTGGATAAACAGAAAGCTCTTGTCAGAACACAAGAAAAATTAAATAAAAAGTTCAACTGTAGTACCTTGTCTGTCGTTTTTAACGAAACATGCATAAAGGAAGGATTGCTGCCTAAATATGCATATATATATATATATATATATATATATATATATATATATAATTATTTATTCGAAAATTATAACATAAATTTATTATAAAATCAATACAAAAATAGCCATTTTGTTTCAACATTTCCTCTGGTGTCTTATCAAGTGAAAACATCATCACTTGATAAGACACCAGAGGTTTGATTAAAAAAATGACTATTTTTTATTTATATTTATATATATATATATATATATATATATATATATATATATATATATATATATATTATAATTTTGTAAATGCACACGAACTTTATGGACACCCTGTATGTGTGTGTTTATATATATATATATATATATATATATATATATATATATATATATATATAGCTGGTGTAACGACAAAATTATCAAATTCGTGTAACAGCATAATTATCAACTCTACACTATGTTTAGTATAAAAAAAAAACACTGAACTAATTGTGTTTAATTTTTCCGTGTTTTCAGATCAGAAGTTTGGACCATTTAACCCCATTTGACGTATGAATGACAAAAAAATAATCTGTGAAAATTTGAGATTATGTCAACAAGAATTGCCAAAATTATTGGCCTGCGAAACGATGTCAATTTTTTTGGGGATACCATATATATATATATATATATATATATATATATATATATATATATATATATATATATATATATATATATGTGTGTGCAGGTGTGTGTGGGTTTGTTATAGTATATATGAAATATAGCTGTATTTAAATCAAATAATGAATCATTTTATGTGTCAGCATTTAATTAAGTAACAGTAAATGTAATTATCTCCATATTTATTTCAAAATTAAATTAAATTATTAGATAAAATATTGTCGATATAAATAAATGTGAGTCATCAATAAACCGAATAATCTATTTTTCATTTAATAATAATTTCTTTTTTCTACACCTGAATCATCTCAGAGGATTTGTACTATACTGAATCGCTTATTATAAATTTAATATTTAAACGTAATGAAATAAAAAAAAAAACTCATATAGAAAATTATTACCCTACTTTCATCTGTTTTACGTGAGTCTTATGTAACAGAAAAATATTAAAATATTTTTTTATAAACTAATATATCGTCATTCACAGAATCATTTAAAAAACTTTTATATCTTCAAAACTATGATGTCTTTTCTAAGATGAAAAAAAGGCGATCTTTAAATCCATAAATTTAATTCACTTAGAAATGCACCGACGCTTGGATACCAAAAATCCGTGAAACTCAAAGTATATTAAGTAAGTTAATAAAATAAGTTATTATATTGAAACATATTTTTTTTACTTTTGTTCACTAAATATAAGGCCAAAGAGCTACTCAAGATAGATGGTTACTAGATGATGCTGTTGAAAAAAAAAAAACTTTAAAAAATGAAATGAATGAATTAGTTTTTTAAAATGTCGTCACAGGAGCATGTTTAAACTTATTTAATATATAATTGATCTTACTTAATCTTTTCTTATCTAACTCATCTAATAATATATGTATTAATATAGTTATTTCTATATCTTATATTCTCCATACCAACCATATTTGACAATCATCCCCTATTTTACGAACTCCAATTATATATATATATATATATATATATATATATATATATATATATATATATATATATTGTGTGTGTGTGTTTGTGTGTGTGTGTATGTCAGATTCTTAGGCTGTCAGAGTCACAAACAATGTTTCTTAACTGTATATGTAATGATATTGCACATTATGCCAAATGGCAGTTACATGTAGGTGAATGGAATTTCTTGGACATTCAGGTCGTTAAATGTAGTTATACCGTTTATTATAATATTAATAAGATAATAATATTAACCATATACAATTTAAAAGATACCCAGGATAAAAAACATTTAAAAATCTAAAAGGATAAAAAAACAAATAATAGCTGGGATCCCAACAGATACTACCACTCTGGGTCAGGGGGAAACTGGGGAACTGAGGAAGCGGACATAGTTTATCGTCTTACCCAGGAAGCGGACATAGTTTATCGCCTTACCCAGGACGCGGATGTAGTTTATCGTCTTACCCAGGACGCGGATGTAGTTTATCCTCATACCCATGAAGCTCGCATAGTTTATCGTCTTACCCAGGAAGCGGACATAGTTTATCCTCATACCCAGGAAGCAGACATAGCTTATTGTCTTACCCAGGAAGCGGACATAGCTTATCATCTTACTCAGGAAGCGGACATAGTTTATCGTCTTACCCAGGACGTTTAGCGACTTTCAAATTCAGAAACAGCAGGATTAAAATCGCAAGCCCTTCTTCTATGGATTCTGCCATCCATTGACAAATCTGCAGTAGCTGTGAATCTTATTTCGCGGGTCGAAGCCATGGCATGAAATATTTTGAAGTCTATTTTATCTTGTGCAAAAATATTGCTACTCTCATCTCCGGAGTAAAAGCGATTGGGAAGAATGAAAGGTTTAAAGAAAAGAAGAAAAAAAACTCAATAGAATAGAAGAGTTACCCTAGACGCAAGCCACCCATCTGGCACTGGGTGTCATGCCATTAGCGTTTACCGCTGGTGGCCCGCTGTCGGACTGCCGGCGTGTTCCTCTCGGCAATTTTATCACTGGCGGACCGCTAGAGGCCCACCGATGTTCACGCCAATGTCTACCATCAGAGAATCGCCGGCTTGCGTTTAGTGTAAGGAAGGAAAAAGAAGAAATAAAATGTCAGAAACAAAAGCGATTGATTCGATTTACGGTTTATCAACCACTTGCAGGTTATCTAGAGTTAGAAATACTTTAAGATCATAGGATTTTATTTTTAGATTCACTAATAAAATTCCTACTAATCAACTCATAGCTTGAGGGAAATATGTGGATTCATGCCTTTCCCAATAGTATTTACGCATAAGTGAATATAATGGACCCAACTGGAAATCGAACTCGGTCCTACTATTTTCAATTCTGAGCTATTGGGGTTATCTATTTCACCACCCGAACATCGAAGTTTACAGGACCTGGTATTCCAGTTTTGCCCATTTAATTACTGAGCCGGGTCGACGTTGCTTAATTTTGTTGATCGTATGAGATCCATTATTTCAACGGTATAGAGCCGTAAGCCGAGAAAGAAAGACAGAAATAACAAAGAAAGAAAAAAATAGAGAAGGAAAAGTAAACGTAAAATAAAATGAAGCAAATGATGAAGAAGAAGAAAAAAAAACAGAAATAAGAGATGAAACGAATAAAGCTAGAAAGAAAGAAAGAAAGAATAAATGAATGGATTAAGAAAGAAAAATAAAGGAAAAAAAGAATGGGAATAAAGAAAATAGAAGCCATAAAAAAGAAAGAAAGAATTTGGAACAATAGAAAAGACGAAAAAAGATCGAACGAGTATAAATAATAGTCATAGAAAAAAGATAGAGAAGCAATAGAAAAGAAAAAAAGAAAGATGATTCGAAAACAAATGTCACATAAAAGAAAGAATGACAAAAATGAAAAAAAAGAAAAGAAAGAAGGAAAGAAACAAAAGAAAGAAAGATAGTGTAATGTAAGTAATGATGAAAAATAATTACTTTTAGAAATTAGAAATGGGCTGAAGTCAAAAAAGAGGAAAACGGTAAGAAAGAAAAAAGCAATAGAAAAGAAAGAAAAGAAATTGAAGCAAAAGAAAAAAAAAGAAAAGTGAAGAGATCGAAAAGAAGTGGGGAGAAAAGACAGATACAGAAAGATAAAAAAAAAAGAAAGAAATTCGAAGTGAAAGAAAATAAACAAAGAAAAACAGGGAAAAGTTATGATAGAAAATGAATAGAGAAAGAAAGAAATTAATAAAAGCTTTCGTGAAAAAGAAAAAAAAATCAGCGCAGACCTGAAATTAAGACGAGAACCAAGTATAGAAAAGAAAGAAGTAAGTTTTTTTTTGTTTTACTTTTCATCTAATAACGTTTTTAATAACATCCAGGGAGTTCGTTTCGTTCGCCATCGTAGTCTCATTTTATTTCGACTATCTCTTGTGGTAATTACATTTATGGCTCTCAGACAAGAGGTGATTAATTAAATCAGCAGAGATATGATACCGCCTCCATAATCCCTTTTTTCCTCAACCCCCAACCCCACAACATACTCAGTTGACATCAGCATAACAATAATAATAATAATAATAATAATAATGTTTATCCAACCTTCAATTATCATTACCTCATTTCTGTTTGTTTATGAATTCTTTGCAAAGCTACTTGGCCAAACAATTTCCAGTGGTCAGTTTCCGAGTCTGGAATAAAAGCTAATAATACTGCTGCTGATTTTCAAGGCAGAACCACACGTTGATATGACGAGTATCTCAGGCAAATATATGAGTAATTCTTTCTCTGAGTGCAGTCCCTTTACTAGTTTGAATATTTTGTTCGAATTTTGCATCTCCTTTAAATGTTCGAATAAGATTCGAGCTTTGAACCACCGTCTTCATATCCATGCAAGACGGTGCTAATTTTCGCACTAAGTAGCTCCCTTATCGTATGAGTGCTTATAACTATACCTTTTCAACTTGAAAATGATAATAATCAACTTCAAAATGGACTTATTTTCAGGTAAAAAAAATATAATCAACTCCAAAATGGATTAATCAACTTCAAAATGGATTACTCAACTTCAAATTAGAAACAACTTCAAAATGAGAAATAATCAACTTCACTTTGGATTAATCAACTTCAAATTGAGAATTAATATAATACTAATAAATTTAATATTTATTCTTTTATTTTTACTTAAAAAGGGATATAAAAAATATAAACGTTCAAAGAAATTTATTTAAAAGATTGGATCATCTAAGTTAATGGATACAGATAAAATTAATCTCTGTATTCCAGATAAAGTTAGTGCAAGTCTCAGGGAAATATTATTGGACCAGGGAGATCATCGCTTCTAATTTGCTGAGGCGGAATTTTTAGTAGTTAATAACGCTCCTGGCCATCACCTCTTAAAATTGAACAATTGAGTCTGCCATGAATTTTTTTACGTCAGCTTTAATGACTGACCCCCCCTTTTCAATGGGATTTAAATCGGATTGAAAGGGGCAAGTCTGAATAATTTGGTGTAAAAAAGAATTCATCCTCCTCCTCAATTCTTCAATTGAAGTATGGTGATGAACGTTTATCAATAACTAAAACAACTCCTTTTCATAAATTAGATTTGATGATTCTAAGGCAATTAATCCATTATTTCGCATCCTCTTTTTTGAAAGAACCTCGTCTTTGAAAAGAACCTCTTTTTTCTATAAAGAACTTAGATAATGAACCTCTTTTAAATTTTTTCTGAAGGAACGTTTATTTTTAATATCAATATTTTATTTACCAAAAAATAAAAGAAGTTGTTAATTATTATTTTGAAGTTGATTGTTTTTAGGTTTTTAATTTTTCAATTTGAAGTTGATTAATCCATTTTGAAGTTGATTATTCCATTTTGAAGTTGATTTTCCAATTTGAAGTTGATTAATCCATTTTGAAGTTGATTAATCCATTTTGAAGTTGATTGATCCATTTTGAAGTTGATTAATCCATTTTGAAGTTGATTATTTTTTTTGAAGTTGAAATTGATCCATTTTGAAGTTGATTATTATTTCATTTTAATCCATTGAAAAGTTGATAAATCCAATTTGAGGTTGATTAAATTTTTGAAGTTGATTCCATTTTGAATTTGATTGATCCAATTGGAAGTTTTTTAATTTAAGCGGAATCGATTAATCCATTTCGAGATTGATTAATTTTTTTGCTTGAAAATAAGTCCATTTTGAAGTTGATTATTATCATTTTGAAGTTGAAAAGGTATAGTTCCCACTCACAACAAACAGAAAAAGAAAACCTACTTGAAAACTCATCGTAGGTGTTTCACTTTGCTATTTGACCAACCAAATACGTCATTAAACGCGAGACCAAATAACAACGTGTCGCTAATCAGGTGGCCGATTAAGTACACGTCATGCTGATGCTGTTTCGGACGCGGTAGCTTATACAGAAAGCGGAGAGCAAGCATTGCAAGGAAGCACATAGGTAGGATCAAGACGCATTCGTTTGTACATACATTTCGAAATTCAGAGCTTTCACACAACCAAGAGGGTTGATTGAAAGGAACGGGTTATTGAATATGGTTTAGTAATTTCAAATGAGAAAATCTGATTCCTTGATTCCTGGATTCTGTCATTCTCCAACCATTCTAGGTCTAAATAAATCAAGGTAATTCACCTAAAGAAAAAAAAAGAAAAGATTTATTGTATTTTTTAAGTTACAATATTTTTTAAGCTTGCATTATATATATATATATATATATATATATATATATATATATATATATATATATATATATATATATAGGCAGCATATCTTTACTCAAACATGATTCATAAAATATAGATACATATTGTGTCTTTTTTTATACAGATTCTTTGCAGTTGTCTAATTAGTTTCTTGATGTTAAGATGAAATTCATCAAGGAAGGCCACAGTTTTTTCTAACCCAAGTATTTTCGACCTTTTCAAAGATAATCTTCAGATAAATTAATTTTTTTTAAATAACTATAACAGAGAAAGTTCACGCGTGTTCTTTTAAAAATCAACACCACAACAGAAACCATTCTTACTGGAGTGACAATAAGTTTCCTTGAAATTTGGACCCCCTGAAGTTTTTGAACTCTGTCATTGTTTTCGGCGAAAAAAACTATGATTTTTTCCATGATGAAGTTGATCTTAACATCAAGAAATTTTTATAAAGTGAAATAAACAGTCAATAAAGAAAGGTTAAGCATAAAAGGGAATAATGAAAAAAGTCATTGACATTCTTGAAATCCGCCTACGTTCGATCAATTTGTCTTTAACTTATGGCAGGAAGAATTTTTTTTTAACTTTTAAGTATAAACGTAAATATTATTTGCAACCATAAAAACCATTTCTCAATTTTGAGTTCTTCTGATATTACGTTCAGTAACGAACAAAGACATATTAAGGTTAATCAAGAGCCCTCCGTTCTCCACTTTTAACCGGCTATTGAACTCACATATTTTGGGTCCTGTCACTGGATCTTAAACCCTTTTAGCCACTGTTCCTTGTGTGGGGTGATACTGATTTTAAAAAAAATCTGGAATTTAAATGAGTCAACACCAGTGAAAGAAATAAAGGGGTTTCAGTTCGACATTCCAACCACGGTGAGAATTCGATCAATTTTAAGCGCTGGATTAAAACGTTAATGGATTATTTCGTATGTCAAATTTGTGAGAACAATAATCAAACTAATCGATTATCTGTTGCAATAAATAACATCATTTTGAAACGAAAAAGGGGAATATCTCAGAGATATTTTTTTATTTAGAATGTTTTAGGTGTATAGATTCGGTTCTACGGATTAAAAAAAAAATAATTCACCATTTGTTGAAAGACGAAATATTCATCTGAGAATTATGACACTTGTATCTCTTTGATTTAACGTATATCTCGAAGTGGCATTGCACTTAACAGTATAGAAAAACAAAAACAGTAAATGGAGTTCAATAATACTGAGGCAGTTTTACAGAAATCGTCAGAGAGACACTGAGAAAGGCACGAACCCATTTCTCCAACAGCTATGAAACGTTGTTGACTGTTGTTTGACAAAGATAAATGGAATAGTCAAAGCCTTCAATAATAGATCGACAGGGATTCATCTCAGAAAATAGACAGATACTATAAATCCCAGTAAAAAAGGAAACGTTGACAGGTAATCAAATTGCTATGTTGGGGAAATATTCGAAATTGGCCTTCATCCATCTGATAAATATTTCAATTAATGTAAAAAGACAAAACGAATAAGTGATATGATTCTGAAGGGAAATACTGAAAAAAAAGCCTTGATAAAAGGATGGCTCTTACTGCATTAAAAATCGAATAATATAAGCATTAGAAACACTCGCTAAATGCCTGGGCTCGAACACAGACGCCTGGCACGTTTGAGAGAAACAATATTCTCTTTGATTTCAGATTTGCCATTTAAAATGATCGATTTTTTTTTCATAATCTCTCAGAAATAGAACAGATACTGAAAGTCTCAAAACGTTGAGAATAAATATATTTACATTATTCGACTATTGTAAGTTCTGGAGGTTGTTAGAATGTCGAACTGAACCCTTTATTTCGCTCACTAAACTGTTCTACTTCCACGTGCCAGGTTTAATGGATGTCATTATCAGTTATCTCCTGTTAATCCTCTCTGCAAGTTCTCCACTGCCTTAACCGAGTATTGAATAATTCTTACAAAAATGTCATGGATCTAACTAACTAGTGTCATGTGACCTTGAGGTACTTTTGATCCAGTAAGAGGACCCAAAAGTGTGAGCGAAATAAAGAGTTTAGTTCGACATTCCAACCACCTGAAGAAGGCCGGAGCGTAAACGGCCGAAACGTTGTAATGAATGTGGCGACCAAGATGAGGACAATAGCCCGAATAAAGTAAATAGGGTCTCAATAGATATTTGCTGATTTAGCCTAATCTGGTGCACTCAGGGCAAATGTAAAATCGAATTTACCACAAGGAACTTTTTGACTAGCTTGCTAATAACGGCACCATGACGAAACGTTTCTTATCGAAATTTGGTAATGGACGAATGGTTGAGTAAGGAGATTAGGCTATCGCCAATATTCTATGTTTTTTCCTATATCAGTTAATCTTTAATTTTTCAGGATTCAAAATGAATATTTTGAGTGTTAAAGTTTCAAAAACCTCTTTCCTCATTATTTCAAGGAACCGGGCAAATGCCTCTTCTTGATATATCTGTCAGAATTTCCATTTTCCTAAAATGTCGTATTATCATGGTATTCAGCATCCTTATCTATTTCTGTTACCTCTATCT